TTCGCTTCAGCTGCATGGCTGCCGGTCACCATCTTGATTGGCAGTTAATTTGCATATCGCCCTGATTAGTCAATGGGAAGCGTGTCGGAGGTACGGTTAATTACCATGTTTGTCTATTATTAGATAGGATTAGGTCCAGTTAGTGTATAGGATTAGCGAAGTCCTCTGTTTCCTTGTTGGTCTTCTAACTAGTGTCTGCCTATTATTCAATGTGGTATGTTGAAGTCTGCAACTATTACTGTAGTCTTTATTTCTCCCTTCGATTCTGTCAATTTTGAATTTATATATTTTTGAGCTCTGTTGTTAGGTACATATATGTCTCTGTTATATCTTCTTGATGAAGTTGTCTTTTAATATCTTTCTTTGTGTCTTATAGAAATTTTTGTCTAAAAGTCTATTTTGCCTGAACTTAATATAGCTACACAATCTCTCTTTTATCTGCTGTTTTCATGGAATAAATTTTCCCAGCAGTTGACTTTCAACCAATTAATGTCTTTAGATGTAAAGTGAATGTCCTATAGATAGCATATAATTGGATGATTGTTTTGTCCACTCTGCCAAAATCTGCCTTTTAGTTGGACACAGATTAATCCATTTACATGTAAGATAATCCTATATAATAAAAGTGTAATATTCTAAGTGTCTGACCAGTTGCTATGATGCACACTGACCACAAAGGGGAAGACGTTCTGACCAGTAGGTTAGCTTGCTGCTGGGGTCCAGCTGATGGGGACTGGGCAAGAGGGCCCCAATTGCTGGCCAGGTCAAGGGACCCCACCTGTGCACAAATTCATGCACTGGGCCCGTAGTTACTGATGAAGAAGAACCTGTTTATGCCATTTTGTTATTTGTATTCTATTTGTTCCTCAATTCCTCCATTATTATTTATTTTTGTGTGTTCTGTATTTTCTAGTGGGCCATTTTAATTCCCTGCTCATTTTTTCTTCAGTTTAGTTTTGTTTTTGTTTTTTGAATTTATTGGGGTGACATTGGTATTTTTTTTTTTTAGTTATTTTTAGTGGCTGTCCTGGGGATTATAATTAACATTTTAATTTATAATTATTTTGATTTAATACCAACTTTGTTCAATAGCATACCAAAGTTTTGTTCCTATATAGCTATACCATGCATATCCCCTCCCTCACTTTATAATGCTTTATCACCCCTTATATCTTACACATTGTGTGGCTATTAACATAGATTTACAATTATTGGTTTAAGCATTTCTCTCTCTTTTTTTTTAATCCTCACCCAAGGATATTTTTCCATTGATGTTTAGAGAGAGTGGAAGGGGAAGAGACAAAAAAAGAGAGAAACATCCATGTGAGAGAGAGGGGGTTACCTCTTGCATGCTCCCCAGCCAGGGCCTGGGTCAGGGAGGGGCCTGCAACTGAGGTACATGCCCTTGACTGGAATCGAACCCAGGACCCTTCAGTCCACAGGCCGACGCTCTATCCACAGAGCCAAACTGGCTAGGGCAGCATTTCTTTTAAGTCATATAGGAAAAAAGAGTTACAGAACAGAAATGAAGGCGTTATAAACCCCTCAAAATATAATTGTCATTGACAATTATATTTACCTATGTATTTTCCTTATCAGTGTTGTTTATTTCTTTTTGTGGATTTGAGTAATATTCATTGTCATTTTATTTCAGTCTGAAAGTGTCCCAATAGCATTTCTTGTAAAGTAGGTACATTACTGTTGGGAGTGATCTCTGTCTCTTTCAGTTTAACCTATCTGGGGTTTTTCAATCTTGGTAGTGTATATTTATGTTTTTTTCATCAAGTTTGGTTAAGTCTTTAGCCATTATCTCTTCAAATATTCTTTTTTTTAAAATATATTTTATTGATTTTTTACAGAGAGGAAGGGAGAGGGATAGATAGAAACATCGATGAGAGAGAAACATCAATCAGCTGCCTCTTGCACACCCCCTACCGGGGATGTGCCCGCAACCAAGGTACATGCCCTTGACCGGAATCGAACCTGGGACCCTTGCTTGAGTCTGCAGGCCGACGCTCTATCCACGGAGCCAAACCGGTTTCAGCGTCTTTAAGCATATTTAAAATAGGTGTTTTAAATTCTTTATCTAGCCCTGGCCGGTATGGCTCAGTTGCTTGAGCATCATCCTGTGCACCAAAAGGTCACTGGTTTGATTCCAGTCAGGGCATATACCCAGGTTGTGGGAGGCAACCAAGCAATGTTTCCCTCACACATTGATGCTTCTCTCTCCTGCCCGCCCTCCCTTCCTCCCTCTCCTTTCCTCTCTCTCTCTAAAATCAATAAAGTATATTTTTAAAAATTCTCTATCTACTAAGCTTAATGTTTAGGTTTCCCCAGGTACCGTTTCTATATTTTTCCTATAATGGGCCATAAATTTATTTCTTTGCCTGCCTTGTAATTTTACTGGCTGAAAATTAGACATTTGTGATACTATCATATGGCAATTCTGGAATCAGCTTTTTCTCATCCCCAGGGTTTGTTTTTGCTGTATGTTTAGTGATGTTTCTGAACTAATTTGGTAATATCTGTATTTGTTGTGTGTGGCTACTGAAGACTGCTATGTTGAAAACTCCTTGTATACGTGGAACAGAAACAAACGTCTCCTAGTCTCTGCAGATGGGCTCTGAGTATATAATGGGGTTTACACTCGCCGTAGCCTTCACAGCCTGCTTGTGAATAAAGCCTAAAGGTCAGCCAGAGCTGAGGACTTAGTGCTTTTTCACGTCTTTTCTGAGCATGTGCCCACCCGGGTATGCACAGGCTACCAGATTAAAAGTGTCAATGTCAAAAATGGCCAAAACTTGTTAAGAATTTTTTATATATATTCTATTGATTTTTTACAGAGAAGAAGGGAGAGAGATAGTTAGAAACATCAATGAGATGACAATTACCAGGAACCAAAATCTCAAATGCTCTGGAGAATAGCAGTTTTTCAGTTTCTTTTATGCATTTGAAATTAAGGAGGGAACACAAGGAAGATTACAGGAAAATGGAAGCAAGCAGGGTGTAGATCAAATTCAGGATGGTTAAGATTATGCGCTTTCTTTAGGGTGGTCATGCCTTCGGGGAGTAAGCTGTGTTAATTTAGATGCTCAAGACCAAATGGGCAGAGCTTGCTTAAAAACCTCTCACTAAGAAGTTATGTTTAAAAAAAAAAAAAAAGAAGTTACGTTGTGCCCTGGCCAGTGTTGCTTAGTTGGTTAGGCATTGTCCCATGCACCAGGGGGTTCCCGGTTCTATTCCTGGTCAAAGGCATCTATGCTCAGGTTGTGGGCTTGATCCCGGTGAGGGTCATCGTGCAGGAGGCAGCCAATTGATGTTGCACTCTCACATCGACATTTCTCTCCTCCCTTCCTCTTGCTAAAAATCAATAAACTATTTTAAAAAAACAAAGTTGTGTTGTATGACTACCCACCATGACCTGTCCAATTAGGAATTTATGATCTATTTTTTAAATATAGAAACATCAATGATAAGAGAGAATCATTGATAGGCTGCCTCCTGCATACCCCCTACTGGGGATCAAGGCCGCAACCCCTTGACCAGAATCGAACCCAAGACCCTTCAGTTCTCAGGCTGATGCTCTATCCACTGAGCCAAACCAGCTACGGGAGGAATTATGATTTATTAGAGCACCCTCTTTTCAACTACAAAAGGAATATGAATGAAAGAGCTTTTCAAAAATTCTCAAAAATACATTGTTCCACACTTTTCCTCCCAAGTTTTCGGTAGTCTTCTGTTTTCTTCTACGGGTTTCCCTCACTTCAGGTGGTGGTGGCTGATATATTTGCCTTTAAATGTGTTTAGCATAGCTCAGCCCTTGGAGAGTTTGGGATTAGGTAAATGAAGGCAAGCCCTTTGAGCCAAACCTTCAGAAAGGTCTAAACAATCACAGTTCCTTGAGATAATGGTCCGTTCTGCTCCCTCCAGTATTAGGAATGTGGGCTGTTGTCTTCGAGGTCACGGCCAAAGCATGAAATAGAGAATTAATCAAGGATCAGTTAAAATGTCAGCTGTTTTTTTTCCTTGATTAAGCATTTTCCTGGTTGCTATAATCTTTGGGTAAGTCTCCAGAATTCTAATAAAGTTAACTCTTAAAGTTTTTGCCAGTTTATTCATTTTATGCTTCTGTATAGGGATGGGCTTTTGGAATTTAGTATTTCTTGTTTTCAGTGTCATGACTTCTCACTAGAATTTCTTACACACTTCTGTGTTCCTCAGTCTGTGTTCCTGGGTCTGTACTCATTACATGAATGAGACAAACATGTTCTCCACCCTCACAGAGCTTTGTGACTGATGCCTACCCTATGAACTGAATATATGTTTCTTACCCTGACCTTATATCTCCATGGTTAAAATCTTTAGAGCTTCTGATGTGTGTAATTTAGACTTTGACATGGGCTTTGGGACTATAGTTGACCCTTGAATAACAGGTTTGAACTGTATGGGTCCATTAATACGTAGATATACATAGATATTTTTTCAATAATTATACAGTTGGCCCATCATACCCCAGGCTTCACATCTGAAGATTCAGCTAACCACCGATCAAAAACAGTATTTTTGATCCATGGGTTGGGAATCTGTGAATGTAGAAAGCCAACTGTATGCATTGTTAAATGCCATTTTATATAAAGGACTTGAGCATCTGTGGATTTTGGTATCCACAGGAGGTCCAATCTTCCACGGATGCCAAGTGACAACTAAAGTTTCAGGATAATCAAATTAAATGCAGAGTTTTGACTGTGCAGGTAGTCAGTTCTCCTAATCCCCTCATTCAAGGGTCAACCCCTAGATATTTATGCCCTGTCACCTAGATCTTGAATAAGGATCTTGTATTTTTGTTCCTTGGGAGTTATAGTATTCATTAGAATTTAAGTATAATTATTCCATTACTCTAAAAGTCTCACTTGGCCTCTATAGAATTGTTGGCTTCATTTTCATGGAGTTGCTTGTCACCTGCACAGTCCCCCTTCAACATGTCTTTTCTCCATGATTAGGGTATCATGTTGATAAACTCAGCCTGATCTCTCAGTTGGGGCAAGAAGACAAGGTGATGACAGAAGAAAGAGGAATTCTCCCAGGTATTTGTTCAGGTGAGCACCAGGAGGATATGACTTTTTGTGAGGAATAGCTGTGGCCAGTGATTTGGGACATGGAAGTACGTATTACATTAAGAAATATCAGAGAACTTTGTAAAATGTCCTTTTTTTTCCTGATGGAGATGGCCAAGAACATTTGGTATGAGCATTTTTTCCCTTTTAACTTGCTGTTCAGCATCTTATACTTTACTTTGGACTCAGAGGCTTTCGTCTCCCCTTGTTTTTGTCTTGTTTTGTTTAAGTCTTTTTTTAACTTTTTGTCCAATTTCTTTCTACGTTACATCCCTGATAATTCCTTCTCTTAGAAATCTCTGACAAATCTTAATCCTTCTAGAATCCTTTCTTAAAACCTACAATTTACATACTCTTATTCCTTTCACTGCAAATCTCCTAAAAAACCCTAATCTCTCAGAGTCTAGCTTTACTCATGTGTATACTATTTCTTTTCTCTACCAACTTAAATTCCTTTTCAATTTGTTTCAGATGTGGAGACTATACTTAAAGCCAAATGGTTAACACCTAAGAAGCATGTTTTTAGGAAAAAACGTTCTAATGGTGTAAAAGCGGTAAGACTAACATGGTGATTCTTGGTTTTTCACAGTAGAAGAATTCTCTAAGTTAGAAAAGCCACAAGATAAAAAGGAGTATTATTTACACAAGATAAAATGGTGTCTCTGGAGAGATGTTGTGGGAAAATTGTGAATTTGGAGAAAATTATAAGTTAGCTTCAAACTAGTTTTTTCACTGAGAGTTTCCAGAAGTAAATTATTTCCTTAAATGTGACTAAGATATTGTCTGTTGAACCATAAAGTGGTCTTAAATTTATCAAAAATGCTCTTGTATGGTAAGGACTTGCATCTTTTTTAACTCCTAAGAGCTCAAACTGGGCACATGTCTTATACAAGCACTGAAAATAGTGAAAACATCAATTATATTAATTAGCATAATTCCTGGGAGAGAGAATTTGTATGACAACACTGAATATTAAAAATATTATGAATTATAGTTATTTATCTCTATCAACAGGAAAGAAATCATGTTGGAATGAAACTTAATGAATGTAATCAGTGTTTTAAAGTCTTCAGCACAAAATCTAACCTTACTCAGCACAAGAGAATTCATACTGGAGAAAAACCTTATGACTGTAATCAATGTGGAAAATCTTTCAGCAGTAGATCTTATCTTACTATTCATAAGAGAATACATAATGGGGAGAAACCTTATGAATGCAATGACTGTGGGAAAGCCTTCAATGATCCCTCATCCCTCAGACTGCATGTAAGAATTCACACTGGAGAAAAACCTTATGAATGTAACCAGTGTTTTCATGTTTTCCGTACTAGTTGTAACCTCAAAAGCCACAAGAGAATTCATACGAGAGAGAATCATCATGAATGTAATCTGTGTGGAAAGGCCTTCAGCACGAGGTCCTCTCTTACTGGGCACAATAGTATCCATACAGGGGAGAAGCCTTATGAGTGCCATGATTGTGGGAAAACCTTCAGAAAGAGCTCCTATCTGACACAGCATATGAGAACTCATACTGGAGAAAAACCCTATATGTGTAATCAGTGTGGCAAATCCTTCAGCAGTAGCTTTTCTCTTACTGTGCACAAAAGAATTCATACTGGAGAGAAACCCTATGAATGCAGTAACTGTGGAAAAGCTTTTAATAATCTCTCGGCTGTTAAGAAACATGTGAGAACTCACACTGGAGAAAAACCCTATGAATGTAACCATTGTGGAAAGTCTTTCACCACTAATTCTTACCTTTCTGTGCATAAGAAAATACATAATAGGTGGATTTGAATACAGTAACTGGGAAAGCATTCATTGATTTTTTAATCCCTCAGACAACTTGTGGTAACTCATGCCAGGTGTTAGAGTTACCTGTTGCTGCCTAGCCAATTTCCCTCCAAAACATAGTGGCTTCAAACAACAAACACTTATTATCTCACAATTTCTGAAAGTCAGAAGTTCATAAATGGCTTAATTTTGTAGTTCTGGCTCAGTGTCTCTCATGAGGGTCCAGTCAAGATTGTCATCAGAAGCTACAATCATCTGTATTTTTACTGCTGAAGAGTCTTTTCTAAAATGGCTGACTCACATGCCTGGAAAGTTAGTGCTGGATGTTGCCAGGGAACCTTCATTTCCTCACCATGTAGGATTTTCCATGGGCCTGAGCATTTTTATGTGTAGCATCAGGTTCCCTCCAAAGCATCTGATCTGAGGGAGAGCTAATCCCGAAGCGATGTTGTCTTTTATAATCTAGCCTTGGAAGGGCATGTTATCACTTCCATATTGTATTGGACACACAGACCAATCCAGATACAGTGTGGAAGAAGCCTACACAAGGAGTGTATACCAGGAGAGAGAGATCCTTGGGAAACATCTGAGATGCCTGTCATGAACTCAGTGAAGAAAGGCCTTCAGCTTTCCACATTGATTTGATATGAAGTATCATTGAGCAACTCTCGGGTTAATTCACTCTGGAGAAAAACTTTATGAGTGCAATCTTTGTGGAAAGCTTTCAGCTTAAACTCACCTTAATGTGCCCAGTACATGTGATAAATCAGTACAGAGAAATACTCATATAAGGAATGTGAAAACCCCACAGCACATTCACATTACTGAGAAAACAATGGTGAGGCACTCTGAATGCAACAGGAAAGCCTTAATGTTCTCTCAGTTTTTGAGAGAGGTGAGGATTTATTCTGGGGAGAAAGTCCTCGTAAATGTAATCAGTACTGGAAAGTCTTCCATTTTTCCCATTCTTAGGAAACTGAGAACTCACTGCACAGAATATAAAGATTGAGGGAATGCCCTTAATGATACCCTTTACATTAGGAAAAATATTAAATACTCCCTGGATGCAAAACCTGTCAGTGTATTAATTTTGGAAGATCTTTCCATGATTCCTGTCTTTGTTGACTTGTTCACAGTAGAGGGAGACCCTAGGAATGTAATCGGTACGAGGATGGCTCAGCCTCACCTCTTCACGAAGTAGACACAAAATAATTTAAACTGGGAATGGAAAATGTAAACCTTAAGAGTGTAGTATATTACCTTTAACAGTGTCTAATCCTTAGGTTGGTCCATTATTTATTTATTTTCAGTTGTTTTAATATAAACATTTATGTCGATAGCTATACCCTAAAATAAACCTGAAGTTTTATTCCATAGTTTGGTATATAATATTTACTCTTTGAAGATATCAATACATGACAAAGGTATTTCTGTATGTCTCCTGAGTGATTTCATTTATCATAATGAAACACTATATGTGTTATATACTTTTCTTCTCATTTAATGGCATTTTTGTCAAGTGGACTTTATGATGTTGATTCTTTTTTATATTTATATCCTAATATAGCAGTTACTTTTAGCTTCTTCAGTGCCCATTTTCCCCTACTTACTCACTTAAAGAAACATTTTGTTCAAGTTGTCAGGCAGTATTAAAAATACTCAGTATGTAAAGCTTTCCTGAAGCCCAAGGATGTGTTGACCTCCTCTTCTGGCCGTAAGTAGGTAGAAGTCACTGGGTGGAACATCATCTGGCTTGTTTGCCTCACTATATTCTCTTCACCTTTACTAATTTTTCCCTTGAAAGTGGGCTCAAAGCCTAGAATTGAAAAAGCTATATTTTGATTATGATGATTTTAAAAATCACAATGATATGAGCTCCCCAGAAACTTCTGATTGGCTATATCAACTCTAGATTGCTTGTTCTTAGGCTTCTCCTTAAATTATTAAAAGTAACCTCTGAGTGATTTGGGGGATTTAGTTTTGAGGAGGTGTGTTAATATCCAGCTGAATGCAGTATTTTACTGGTAAACCTATTAGTCAGATTTTATGTTTCATATTTGTTTAAAAACAGTATACATTCTATAATTTTTAAATACAGAGTATACTAGGGGCCCAGTGCATGAACTCATGCACCTTGAAAAGAACTGTGGGCTGTGAGGCTACAGTAGGCACAGGAGTGGGTCTCGGCCCATCCTCCGCACCCCCGGTCACCTGTCTGCCTGCAGCCCCACTCCCGCCGCTGCCACTCCCACCCACTGAAGGCGCGATTGTGGCCGGCACCGTTAATGGGTGTGAGCAACAGTTGCTGCCCCAATCACCCCTCAGGAGCAGAGGGAGTTGGAGAAGCGATCAGGGCTGGCAGCTGCTTGCTCCCACTGATGGTGCCAAGCAATTGGGACCAGCGCCGGTCACTGGCAGTGGATACGAGCAATGGCTCCAGCACCCACAGCAGGTACAAGCGGGGCCGTCGCTGGCAGTGGATGCAAGTGCCTGGTGGGATCACAGCACATGGGAGCAAAGAATTTTCAGTAACAACCAGAGGCTTGCCCCGATGACAGTGACCGGTGTCCCGCCTTGGTCTGCCACCCCTGCTCTCCTGCTCCACCATCCCACTACAGCCAACGCCCGCCATGTTCTGTGCACTCCCCATGGTGTCAGTGCACATCATAGCAACTGGTTGTTCGGTTGTTCCACTGTTTAGTCTATTTGCATATTAGCCTTTTATTATATAGGATGCCCATTAACTCAAGCTCATTTTTTTATATAATATGCACAAAGTTTTTTCCTCAAACTTATTTACATTTAGTAATAGATGTGTATTCAAGTCTTCCATTTTGGTTATAAATTAACATTCATTTTTGTAATTTTGTAATTTTTATTTACATATGTTGATGCAATGTAACTAAGCAACAGGATTATTTTCTTGTGAATTTCTTCTTTTTATGTAGGGGCCATATTTTTATAGCCAAGTATTTCAATACATTAATAAATGATCAGTCACTTATATAGCTCTTTCTATATACTGGACACTCTTCTGAATGCCTTATGAATATTAACTTATTGAGTACTCAATGTAAGCTTCAAAAGTATGTGCTACTAATATCCCCATTTTACAGATGAGAAAACTGGTATGGTACACTTAATGTTACTTGCCTGAGTTACTGGCTAGTAAATGATAGAGCCCAGATTTGAACCCAGTCTGTGCACTTAACCACTGCCTCTTTACTGAATATTGTAGAGGCCCGGTGCATGAAATTCTTGCACTCGGGGGCTGGGAGGTCCCTCAGTCTGGCCTGCGCGCTCTCGCAGTCCGGGAGCCCTTGGGAGATGTCCAACTGCCGCGGAGGCGGGAGAGGTTCCCACCATTGCCACTGCACTCGCCAGCTGTGAGCCCAGCTTCTGGCTGAGCCACACTCCCCTTGTGGGAGCACACTGACCACCAGGGGGCAGCTCCTGCGTTGAGTGTCTGGTAGCCAGTGCATGTCATAGCAACCAGTCATTCCGCTGTTCAGTCGATTTGCATATTAGCCTTTTATTATGTCGGATGACTGACCTTATTTTAAAAGGGGGAAGGTCATTTGGCACTTGACTTGTCAAGGACATACATACACACATATCCTACCTAATAAAAGAGAAACATGGTAATTGGCGTACGACCGCTACCCTTCCCATTGGCTAATCAGCGAGATATGCAAATTAACTGTCAGCCAAGATGGCGGCTGGCAGCCAGGCAGCTTGAAACTAACATGAGGCTTGCTTGCTTCAGTGACAGAGGACTCCAACATTCCCAGCCTGCCGCTGCAGGCCTCTGAGCTGCAACTCTAAGCAACTATGTAACAAATATAGAAGCTAAACAAAACCCCAGAAACCTGCTTTAGTC